TTTTTCGAGACAGGGTTTTTCTGTGTAGCTTTGCACCTTTCCTGGAACTCACTTGGTAGCTCAGTAGCTCAGGCTGGCCTCGAACTCACAGAGATCCGCCTGGCTCTGCCTCCCGAGTGCTGGGATTAAAGGCGTGCGACACCACCGCCCGGCTGAACTCTTTGCTTTGCGGTAAAGAAACTTTTTAGTTTCCCAAGGTCCCCTCTGACAATTGTTAGTTAGCCTTACTTCTTAAGCAACCGGAGTTCTAGTGAGCATGCCCTCACCCCACTCTTCTCCTATTTTATTTATTGTTTATGTGTCTTTTCTCAAAAGAATGCAAATTCTACCTGAAATTCTTGTGTTATTTTCCTTTTTCTTTTTCTAAATTAAAAAAATTGTGTATGTATTCATATGTTTATGTATATGTGTAGACATGTGGAGAACATCAGGTGTTTTCATCATTCTCCACTTGTATTTATTGATTCATTTATTTTGAGAAATCTCACTGAACTTGGCACTCCCTGATTCAGCTAAACTGTGTGGTCAGCAGTCCCAGGGACCGTCCTGCCTCTGCCTCCCCAGTGCTAGGATCATAGGTGGGCACTGCCACTCCTGCTTTCCCCTGGTGCTGGGGACTAAAACCCGGACCTCATGTCTGCACAGCAACACTCTACTTCTAAAACCACTCTCCCAGCTTTTCGTTTCGTTTTTTCGTTTTTGTTTTTTCTTGACACAGGGTCTTGTTTTGTTGCCCAGGTGAGTCTAGATCTCTTTGCTCGAGTAATATTCAACCTCCTGAGAGCTGGTGCTACAGGTTTACATCACCCCATGGAAACTGCGACCTGTGCCGAACAGGTCTGACTTCATGTTACATTTTCAGTCCCTAACAGGTAAGTAAATGCTGACCTACTCAAATAATGAACACATTGAAGGCCTTTAAAGGCTACCTATTGTCTTTTTAGTCTCTATATTCTCTTCTATTATATTTATATTTATATCTCAATGTAAAGGTAAGTGTTGGAATAGTATAAATACTCAAGACAGATTGAATTAAGCAGCCATTTACCTGGAACTTAGCAGAGACAAATACAGTGTTTACACAGAAAGGCATTTCCTGTATGGCTGACATTAACCGCACATTAGTAGAACATGATGATGAAATGGTGCCTCATCTCTGTTCCTATATTAACTGAAAAATACTGTTTCTTTAAAACAAATGCTGAAGTCAAATGTCACTATTTAGGCAAGTAGCCTTTTCCCAGTTAAATGGCAATGTAATTGAGAAACTAATCATGAATAAGAGGAGGAGCACACAGCAATCTGCACAGGTATGGAATGAGCTGTATGTATCACAGATTCAATCATGCTCATTTCAAAATGAGATTGGTCTACTCCAGGGACACTCATGAAATTCCATTTTTCTTAGAAGTCAGACATTCAGTATTGCTTATTCTGTAGGAAGATTAAAAGTTGTTTCTAACAACTGTCAATGTTGCTGTTTCCTCAAATTACCTGGTAATTGAGGAGCTGAATTCAAAGAAATGTTTCTACCACTTTCCCAGAGCAATAGGATATCTAGAAAGGTTCAGTTATTGGAAAAATCCTGTAATTTATATGTACACAATTATTGGACCCATTACATTTACTTCAGAACCATTAAGATAATATGATTAATAAAATTATTTTAATAATTAAGGAAATCCCAGCTCTTGGAGTAGTTGTCATTTTCTTAACCAATATAAATTAGAATATACAACTTCTACAACATGGATGCATTATAAAACAAGTTGTTAAAAAGGTACACTAGCATTCCAGTGGGAATAACTGTCCTAGGGCTTTTCAGAGTCTACATATAATCTTCACTTTCCTAGAGGTTATTGTAAGGAGAGGCAGACACTTTTCCCATAGTAATGTCTCTACTTGGCAGCATGGCAGACCGGAGAGAAATGACTTGGTTTTCACTCCTGATTGTTCTAACGAGTAATCAAACCATTAATAAGATCTTTCTACAAGCTTCAATTTCTTCACTTTAAAAAAATGAAACTGAATCTATATCTCATATGAACAAAATCAGAATGAAAATTAAATTATGAAATATGATACACAAACATTACCGTCAGTAGAACGCAGGGAGGTAACCTGCAAAAAATGGTTAAGTTTTAACAAGTCCATATTGACGGCCAAGGTAAGCTTGATTCATAGGAAATAATCATTCAGATTTTACTAAGGAAGGTAAAAATAGGGTAGGGGTACAGGAGGGGGTGGTACTTGTGTGTGTGTGTGTGTGTGTGTGTGTGTGTGTGTGTGTGTGTGTGTGTATACTTATGTCTGTGTGTGTATACAGACATAAGTATGTGTGTGTGTGTGTGTGTGTGTGTGTGTGTGTGTGTGTGTGTGTGTATGGAGTGGGGGATAGAAATGTGGCAAGTGCAAGATTTGATCCCTAGCACTGCAGAAGAGAATTTTTAAACATGCAGTGAGATCATGACTATGCTACAGAAAACTAAGAGTGTTGGGGAAAGGTATACAGGACAAAAAGTAGAAACAATAACCCACTGAAAGAACCCAGCTGGAAGACGACACCCTGTGCTACAGCCCAGAGAGTAAGATAAGAAAGGGATGAGCTGACTCCAAAGACTGCAAAAGGATGTGAAAAGTATACAGGAATTAGTGAAAGGCACAATGTAAAACAAGAAGAAGGTGAATAGAAACCCACCATAAAGAAAAGAATATTTTTCTGTTTCATTACTGGAAAGGGTTAAGTTTAGACATATTAAATCTGAAATGTCAGCCAGGTGTGCTGGCACAAGCCTTTAATCCTAGTACTCAGAAGGCTATCTCTGTGAGTTTGAGGCCAGCCTGTTCTACATAACGAGTTCCAGAACATTCAGGGCTACATAGAGAAACCCTGTCTCAAAGAAGAAAATGGTGTCCAAAGACTTATGAAATCTTAGAAGGGTGTGTACCCACAGTAGTTATCTGAGTTGGCTGTTTAATGTGTCTTAACATCAAAGACTAAGACAGCGCTGAGTAATGAATCAGAAGTTATTAAAATCAAAGGAACAGGAAGAAGAGGAATAAGGGAATAAAAGAAATCTGAAGATGACAATTTATTATAAATATTGAGCCATGCGTGCCTTTAATTCAGCACTTGGGAGGCAGAGGCAGGCGGATCTATGTGAGTTCAAGGCCAGCCTGATCTAATAAGTGAGTTCAAAGACAGCCAGGGCTACACAGAGAAACACTGTCTCAAGACAAACAAACGAATGAATGAAAGGATGGAAATATTTAAATACTGTTTTCCTATTATTGAAATGCATTTTAATCATATATTTTATATATATAATGTATATGTTATTCATATATAGAGACAGAGACAGAGACACAGAGAGCCTTTGAGAGTCTCCCCAAAGTTGAATGCATCTGAGTGACAGGTTATACATTTGCTGAAGTAAGGCACAAACAGCTAAAGGCACCAAGGCAAAGAATACCAAAAGTTAAAAATAGAAAGTGAAGACAAATCCTTGTTGAGAAGGGAGATGTTTGTGCTGTGGATTAGTCAACGATGCTTGTTATAATGCCTAGAGGTCACAACAGCAGAATCCCTTCACATTAAAGTTCTATGAAAATGGTAAAAGGAGCCTGAAGTCTTAACAACTTCCTGCTCACATGCTAGCTTTATAATTCAAGGAGTCAATATCTGGGTAACCCTACTTCTTTAAACAACTTTCTTTATAGCACAGTGTGATAACTAATTCTCTATTGTCTCTTATGGCCAGGAAAAAAATGTAAGCTATATTCAGAATATTATGCTGAAAGTGACAATGAAATATGACTTTTCTTAAAATAACGAATTTTTAATCACATACTAGTTGAATTTTAGGTACTGGGTTCCTTTTCCAGAAGACCTCATTAGCACTAACACAGAGGGCTGTAGTGCTACATTTTAGCAACATATCTCATAAACTTCAAGCTTAAACAGTGAAATACTTTGTTTTAATTTTGTGAAGAATAAGTAATTCTAGTAACTCATCATTTTACAAGTCAGAACCCTGGAAATCATCCCAGAATTTCTTCGCTCTAACCTCCAATTAATTATTTACTAGTTAAATACCTCTTAAAAACAGTCCATGGGGTTGGAGAGAGCTGAGCTGTTAGTACTTGCTCTTGCAGAGGACCCAAGTTTAATTCCTAGCACCCACATGGCTGCCCACAACCACCTGTAACTCCAGTTCTAAGGGATCCAACACCCTCTTCTGACCTTCGAGGGCATCAGACACACATGCAGTGCACAGACATACATACAGACAAAACACTAATACACATAACTCCCTCCCCCAAAGTTGTTTTTGTTTTTGATTTTTTTAGATACCATTACCACCATTATTCCTTGTCTAAGTATTTTTCTCTGTGTAATCCTGGCTGTCCTGGAACTCTCGCTGTAGACCAGGCTGGCTTCAAACTCACAGAGATCTGCCTGCCTCTGCCTCCCAATGCTAGGATTAAAGAAGTGCACAACAGCCCAGCCCTTGTCTAAATATTAAGCTATTAACTAAACTGTGTTTGCCTCCAATTATAAGATCAGATTTCAGATTGACTTCATACATTTCACATCTGTAAATGCACTTGTTTCTGAAGCCTGCAAAGAGAACACATTAATGGAAAACCAAAGACACAGTCCTTCTAAAATAGCCTTTGCATCTTTACCAATGTGATCACCCGATCGAGCAAGAGTACTTGCAGTTATTAAAAATGCTAACCTGTCCCCACTGCTCTTGAAACCCAGGGATGACAAATGACCTAACATTCCCAAAAGCGTGACAGCAGCAAAGCCTGCCCCAATAAACATCATTTGTGACTTTGGTCTTGACTTCAAAGAAAGCAATGTAAAAACAAATCTGTCTACATATTTACAATGGATTTCTCATATAGGTTTTAAGGAGGCAAAAATAAACAATTTAGCATTTTGCTATAATATAAAAATACAGTAAAATGTTACATGTAAGGCAGTTAGTTACCTGAGGAGAGTCAAAAGGATATCGACTACTAAACTTAAACAGAAGTTGAAATTTTTCCCCTTCGTATAAGGTACCTGGTGCACCTTCCATGTCTACGATCCACCTGGGACAGGAAAAAGAAAAACAGAAAGGGAACAAATTTAAAACGTAAGATAAAAAGGATTGGGGTAAAGGAAAAAAAGAGGTCACTGAGCTGCCAGGCACTGGGCCAGATAACCCATGTGTACTGGTGCGCTTCACCCAGCAACTCTCACACTGAGTTCTTAACTGATTAGTGCCATGTATACTACTGATTATTTGAGTAAACTGATTATTACTATGGGGACACGCACAGCCACAGCACACATAGCACACACGCAGAAGGCAGAGGACAACTCCGTGCAACTGGCCCTTTCCTCCCGTCTCTCCGCGGCCTCCAGGGATGGAACTGGGCAGTAACTAATTACTACCTGTGCTTTACCTTCTAGGCTATCTTTCTGGGTCGCAGAGCAGGGTTGTCTGTCTGTCTGCTGTGTGCTAGTGCCCATGGAGGTCAGGGCAACAGATGCCCTTGTGAGTCACCAGTGACATGGATGCTAGGGCCTAAACTAGGGTACTCTGGAAGAGCAACAAGGCCTAACTGCTGAGCTCTGTTCCAACCCCGAACAGAGGCTTTTAACACTCTTCCCTATCCTTCTGTGAGTGACACCTGGGATTAAAGAAATCAGGTCAAGGTCAGAGTCAGGCTTGTAACCCAGGTCTGAAACACACTACAAACAAACAAAACTCCCACTTCCATATGCTAATACCGGAGTCTACATGGTGCTCATCCTTTTAGATCACACCATCTTACTTTTTTTCAAAAGACTATTTTCTATAATAACTAAAATCATTTTAGACAACATCAAGCCCATCAACTGCCTTCCTGATCAGTATCAGAAGCAATAGGAGAAACTGCTGTCAGCAAACACTGCAGAGAATTGTAGCTGACAACCGACTTCTGATCAGTAGTCACCAGAAGCCTAAGCGGAAGCTAAGGGATCCCTACCATCGACTGGGAGGGTTACGAGCAGTGCTCTCTGCTGCCTTTCCTTGCTAGCTCACTTTCAAGGCTTTAAACAGCGCACACAGATTTCTATGACATCTATTATACACTTGTTTTCATGTGTAACAATCAAGAACATAAATGTTTGCACTGATATTCTGTAACTATCTCTAGTCTTTAGAAGAGAAAAGATAAAAACAGCAAAGACGCTAGGCAGCGTTTAGACTTGAATCAAAGTCAGAAAGAATGAGTCTTTAATTATAGCTGTCGCATGTAATTGTTATAATTGGCCAAATCCTTTAACCTCATGCTTCTCAGGTACAAAAATGTTATTTTAAATACTGGAAAACTGGGGTTGAGGATGTATCTCAGCAGCAGCAGAGCACTTGTGTACCATGATCAAGGCCCTGGGTTTGGTGCCCAGTACTGCCAACCAATATCATCCATCCACCCACCCACCCACCCTCCCATCCATCTGTCCGTCCATCCAGGAAATAAGGAAATACTATCAGAGGAAAATAGGGAATACTATGGTAACGTTCTACTTATGTCTCACGTAATATGGAACTAGGAATATATAAAGTAATAACACAGACTAGGCTTAGTCTGTGGAAGAAATCAACTTAACAGAAACCCTTAAAATATGACAATTCATATTGAGAATGCATGCTGAGTATCCTAAATGTAAGAGGATACTGTCGGGAGAGTGAAATGATACTATATATGTAAAAACCTAGTGCATCTCTACCATCAGAGCTGGTGTACAGTAAACCCAATAAAACACAAAGCTGTACAGAAAGCAAAAAAACCGTGGGGGTACACAGTTCAATGGCTGAAGAGGCCTGGGTTCAATACCCAACTACACACACACACACACACACACATATTCTCTCTCTCTCTCTCTCTCTCTCTCTCTCTCTCTCTCTCTCTCTCTCTCTCTCTCTCTCTCTCTCTCATTAAAGACAAAAACAAAACAAAAAAACTAGGTCTTTCTCAGCTTCAAAATTCATTTTTCTCCTACCCACCCACCTCTATACTCCCCAGAGTGATAATCCAAGGAAACCATTTCCTGGTGCTCCTTCATTTTGTTTATGTAACAAATTTTAGGACCAATAAACACAACCAATTTACGCATGACATATAAGCAGAGTTTTAAATAACAGCAAAGCAAACATCATTAATCATGTAGTATCTGCATGAAATAGGTCAATGACATGATTTCAAATACTGTGTGATAAAATTTTAATCTTTGCTAATTAAAAAAGTAATATATGCTTATTGAATTTTAAAAATATTAAATAAAAATTCAGGAAAAAAACTACTGTTAATTTTTTTGCGGTGTATTTATTATCATTTTGCAGTTTACTACATCACTGATGATAAGAAATAGAAATACAGTGTTTTTATGATATGCACACTTAAATTACACAATTTTCCAGCTTTATTAATAATTACTGTGCATGTGCACCGTGTGTGGGTGTGGGTATGCATGCCGTGGTGTGGGGTGGCGGTGGTCAGGGGACAACTTTGTGGACTTGGGTCTGCCACCCTCACACGAGTTCTGAAGATCAAACTCAGGTCCCCAGGCTTGTTCAGCAAACACCTGTAGTGGCTGAGCCATCTCACCAGCCCCAGCCTACATACCGAGCTGTCAGGGCTTAATTCTGATCGTTAGCGTACGCCTTGGAGTGAGGATGTAACGGGAGAAGTGAGCCCTTTCTCCAGTGAGTCTCAACTCTTGAACCTCTGGAACTATCACTCTTTTGAAAACTAATGGTTTGAACTTATTTTACACACACTCTGGCTTCTGATAAAAGAAATAGCTCGTCCAAAGAGCTGGCTTTTGTGGGACTAAGACAAGCAGCATACAAATGTTGTTTTTATTTGGGGCATGACTTGTTCTTTAGGCAGAGATCTCACCAGGCTATCCAGAGTGGTCCTGAACTGGCAGGCTGATCTTCCTACCTCAGTCTCCTGAGTAGCTAGGAACATAGGTATATACCACTGCACCAGCCAAAAAGGCCTTTCTACAGAATTTTCCAAGATAATTATGAATTGACTATACAAAATTTCTATCTTACAAACGGAACTACAAATAATAAAGTGATAGCATTTTAATGTGTCACCCTTCTCTATTGTTGACATTTGCAGTTTCAACTCATTCTTCCAACTAGAGATGCTTAGAAAAAAAAAAAAAAGAGTACAATTTGTTCCAGGTAACTCTCTTCATATCTTTGGTCTTTTTTTGTTTTTTTTTGGTTTTTCGAGACAGGGTTTCTCTGTGTAGCTTTGCGCCTTTCCTGGAACTTGCTTTGGAGACCAGGCTGGCCTCGAACTCACAGAGATCCACCTGCCTCTGCCTCCCGAGTGCTGGGATTAAAGGTGTGTGCCACCACCGCCCGGCTGTTTTTTTGGTTTTCGAGACAGGGTTTCTCTGTGTAGCTTTCCTGGATCTCGGTCTGCAGACCAGGCTGACCTCAAACTCATAAAGATCCGCCTGGCTCTGACTCCCGAGTGCTGGATTAAAGGCGTGTGCCACCACCCACCTGGCTTCTTTGTTCTTCCTTTAGTACTACAGTATGGGGTGTTTTATTTACTATGTCTAAAGTATGGCATTCACAGTTCTTAATTCTTAGTTTCCTGTGCTGCAGTCTGAATGTAGAGCACACACTCAGCACAGAAAAGACGGCACACACCTACCTGCAATACCAATATTCCAGAGACTAAGGCTAGCCTGAGTTACATCAAAAACAATAAATAAATAAATAAATAGGAACATGAAAAACACAAGGATTGTTTTAAGAAAAAAGAAAGCTTTACAAATTACACAACAGTAAGTCAGTGATGACACACTAAGGTTAAAAAATGATTATTTAAGCAAATGCACGGAATAAGATCTTTTTACTATATTTACCTAATGCTATAACAGAATACAATAAAATATGAAAATAATTTTTTAAATGAGTACATCCTCCTATACTATAAGAAAGAAGACCTTTAAAAATCCAGTACTTACTGTGTGATTGAATTCTGAACGCTCTTCTCATTTAAAGTCATTCCAGGGGGTGGGTCATTTTGCAAAGCCAACAGTTCTTTTTGTAGTCGTTTCTAGAAAATATCAATAGTCATTTGTACTTTTGTCATCTTTTCTCTATACAATCTCAAATCAGTGATTAAATGTCCTCCCAATGCTTGCACCTCTTCCTTCACAGGGCCCTTGAATCACTACAGAACAGCTGTACTTAACCCTTTAACTACGGTCTGCCCTACAAGTCACAAGCAGGTCGGAGTGTTCAATCTCCCAAGGCTGCTGTAAGCAGCTCTGCAGGGCGGCCAGGTTTCGACAATACAGCCTTCTTCACAGTCCCGTCACTGGGGATGAGAGGATGCAGAGTCAGCGGTGGCTGAAGACCCACTACTCAGAGAGCTTCCTTTGCTACACTGTAACAACCACAGTGCTCTGGACCTATGCAGACGGAGAGAGGCTCTCCATGGGAATCATGAGAGTAACTTAGTACACAAAAGCCTTCTGAAAAACATTTTAAATTCAGCTCATAAACTAATTCTGCACTTCTCTTCTGAAACAGGATTACATGACCATGATTCACTCTCTTAATGGCTGTTTTCACTGTACACTAGAATAAGGTTTTTCTCCCACACTGGATTTCTGACTGACTCTCTCTTGCACTTCTGGCTTGTACACCTCCACCTCTTCCCCTTGTGGTCACCAGTAGACATCCTTTTCAGTCACAGCAGAACTGTCAGGGTATGGAGAGAGTACTCGACTGGCATGGTCAAGGCTCTGTGCTTAATCCTCAACGCTACAAAAAACCTAACTAATGTCATTCAAGTTGTAGGCAAGATTCTAAAGATCCCTTTAAACCACATTTTATTATTTTATTTGAGCTGGAATCCTAACTCTGGTCTTCTGGAAGATCAGCAAGTGTTCTTAAACTACTGACCCATCTCTCCAGCCCCACATTACTTATTTAAATGTATGTGTGAGTGCACATATGTGGCAGTCAGAGGACAACTTGGGGAGTCATTTCTCCGTCTACCATGTGGGGTCATGGAGACGGAACTCAGGTCGTCAAGGCTTGGTGACTGAGCACCTTTATTCACTGAGCCATCTCATCGGCTTTTAATTTCTAATTCTTTGATTTTTTGTTTTTATTGTTTTATGTGTATGAATTCTTGCCTACATATATGTATGCAAACCATAGCATCATGCATGTCCAGTAACCTCAGAAGTCAGAAGAAGGAATCCAAAACCCTGAAACTGTAATTAGAGATGATTGTGAGCCACCATGTTGGTGCTGGGAACTGAATCAGTTAAGAGCAACCAGTACTCTTAACTGCTGAGCCACCCCTCCAGCCCCTAAGTGCTAATTCTTTGAGGAAAAAAAAATGAGTACTTATTTATAACTCAAATGGGTTTTCTGCTTTAAAAATGGTCTTTCAGTCAAGTGTGGTGATACACTCCATTCCAGAACGCAGGAACCTGAGGTAGGATTTACAAATTTGCAGTTAGCCTAGGCTATATAGTGAAATACTACCTTGGATGGCAGGTGGGGGGCACCAGAGAGGGATGGAGGGAGGGTTGGAGGAAGGAACAGAGAGAGTGGGGGAGGGAGAGGGAGCTCCAAATGATTACCCTCCCTGGAGTATCTCAGAGAAGCCTTATTTCAGTGACCATGTTTTGAGGAACGGTACCGTGGAAGTCCTCCACATCTGGAGGACTTTACTAAAACAGAAACGATGCTATAACCTAATTAGTCCTGTTCTGTGTCCATTCAAACATAAACTCAGTGATGAGACAAATTTGAATGCACCAAATGCAGCCCTAGTGTAATCAAGAAAGGGGACTAGCTGATAAATATAAAGACTAAGATTTTCAAGTCGTGGTTGTCAAAACTAAATGCAGAGCTCTTCCCGAAGCCTAGCACTGTGCCCCTCAGCATGCTTACGGGGTGTAAGTGGATCCATCCACAAGGACTCCTGTGGTATTGGTGAGGTTCGTAAACTCATCTGCCTCACTCTTGACTACTTGACATTCTTGTTTTTGTTTTTTAAGTTGCCATATGTTTACTGTTAGTAATCTGTGAAGTCTAGAGAAGTCACAAACACTCCATTTTCATCAAAGGGGAAGGAAGCACAGGCAGGTCTATGTCTGACCACATTTTGTGCAACTTAGTTAGCAGACTACATTTTTATTACAGTAATGCAGTCTTTGCCTCTTTAATTTCTGATCACTTCTTCCAATGTATGTGCTTGGATACTTACTAGCTTTAGATTTTTACTGTTCCATGCACAGGATGACAGGTTCTTCAATTACCTATAGCTATTAACATGAACATTACTCTTGAGAAGACTGAAAACTACATCAAGAAAAATACTCTCAGTTTTAAACTATCAGTTTATATCACGATCTAAAAAGCTCTCACATTTCTAAAGTGGCTCCACTTTTATATTAATTCATGTTTCTAAAGATTCATTTGCTATTTGTGTTTCAATCTGTCTGCTGTGTGTGCACCACTGTGCATGCCAGTGACCACAGAGGCCAGAAGATGTTGGATTTCCTGGAGCTGGAGTTACAAGCACTTGTGAGTTACCAGAAGTGGGTGCTAGGATCCAAACTCTAGTCCTCTGAAAGATCAGCTAGTGCTCTTAACTACTGAACCATGTCTCCAGCCCCACATTGATTCATTTTTTTATGTCCTAATGTGTTAAATCTAAGGCATAAAATCAGAACAGAGTAAGTCCTTAACTGACACTGGTTACAATATATCAGTTGTCAAAATTGACAAAACCCTTTGCTTATTTTCAAAAAGGGAAACTGACAATAAATATGAACAACAAAACAAAAATAAATAACAAACTTCTATATGGGATATAAAAATGGAATGAATTAAAGGAATAGGGAGGCTTTACATCTTACAAAGTTTTATCTCAAACTGAAACCTTGAAAAGGTGTTTTTTTGTTGTTACCGTTGTTTTTGTTGGTAAACTATTTTAAAGAGTAGAAATTCTCACTGAGAGTAAAGAGAAATACAAACAAGAGAAAGGAAGACATTCAAAAATGAAGGATTAGCTGTATATGGTGGCCTGTGCCTTTAGTCTCAGCAATTGTAAAGCAGATCTCTGTGAGTCTGAAATCAGCCTGGTCTATACTGCTAGTTCCAATCCAGCCAAGGGTACATAGCAAGGCCCTATTTTTTTAAAAAAAAGAAAGAAAAAAAAAAAGAGTATGTGAGGCTGGAGAGATGACTCAATGGTTAAGAGCACTGGCTCTTCTTCCAGAGGTCCTGAGTTCAATTCCCAGCAACCACGTGGTGGTTCACAACTATCTATAGTGGGATCTGATGCCCTCCTCTGGCATAAAGTTGTACAGGCAGTCAGAACACTCATATACATAAAATAAATAAATCTTTAAAACAAAAAAGAGTATGTAACACTGGTTGCTAGTGTAACTGTAGATTAAAAGACTAGCAGTGACTGTGGCTTAGTGAGGCCCTGAGTTCAATCCCAGTACTGTAAAAATATTACCAAGATGACCAACACTGCTTTCTCCAATTTCATCCAGCTGACAAGTGATGGTAGAAAGCAAACCCCAGGAGAGCATGGTATGAGAAGAAAAGAACCCTCGACACAATGACAGCATCACACTAACAGCCAGATTCATGGTAGAGGAGAAGAAAAGAACCCTCGACACAATGACAGCATCACACTAACAGCCAGATTCATGGTAGAGGAGAAGAAAAGAACCCTCGACACAATGACAGCATCACACTAACAGCCAGAATCATGGTAGAGGGGAAAAGAACCCTGACACAATGACAGCATCACACTAACAGCCAGAATCATGGTAGAGAAGAAAAGAACCCTGACACAATGACAGCATCACACTAACAGCCAGAATCATGGTAGAGGAGAAGAACCCTGACACAATGACAGCATCACACTAACAGCCAGAATCATGGTAGAGGGGAAAAGAACCCTGACACAATGACAGCATCACACTAACAGCCAGAATCATGGTAGAGGAGAAAAGAACCCTGACACAATGACAGCATCACACTAACAGCCAGAATCATGGTAGAGGAGAAGAACCCTGACACAATGACAGCATCACACTAACAGCCAGAATCATGGTAGAGGAGAAGAACCCTGACACAATGACAGCATCACACTAACAGCCAGAATCATGGTAGAGGAGAAGAACCCTGACACAATGACAGCATCACACTAACAGCCAGAATCATGGTAGAGGGGAAGAACCCTGACACAATGACAGCATCACACTAACAGCCAGATAGCCCCAGTCATCTCGGTTTTCTTTTTTGAGACAGGGATTCATGTAGCCCAGGCTGACCTGGAGCTTGTTACGGAGCCAAGGATGACCTTGAACAGTGGACTGCCTTCATGTGCTAGCCTTTACACAAGGAGGAGGATGCTACCATGTCCAGTTGTTACCCTAAACATGGTATTAAGAAATGATTTTAAATACTAAGAAATGATTTTTAACAATAGCCTAGAAATGAAATAATTTTACCTTATTTTAGCATAAAGCAAAACTTAACACAAATGAAACGGTTTCTTTCCACTGAATTCTGAGTACAACTTCCACAGACCTTAATTTCTAACAGTTATTATGTTTTCCTCTCTAAGAAAAGGGAAAGCCTGCATCAAAGGTCTTCATTCTTTAAACTAACACTTTCTACATTCTGAAAAGGATCCAGAAAGTGAGAAGTCTGACAATTGTGGTTCTCCAACAGCCCACAGCATAGTGGGGACCTGTAAGTCCAACACACACTGTGATTGAGGCAAGACGACTGACTGTACGTTCGAGGCCAGCCTGTGCTACCGACTCTACTGAAACAGAGGGGTGAGGTTAAGTAATTCTCCATGACCAAAAAGAACAGCAGAAAACTGCTATACACCGAAAGCCAAAGGCAGCAATGAGTCAAAGGATAAGCTGGCTTCCACTTCCAGCACTCCAGTAGGGTGGATACACTGGGTAACTCTAGATAACAAGACAAAGTGAACACAGTAACTCTGAAATCCAAGAATCCAGACTACACTTACAGGGCTGCCTTCAACAAAGCTGA